CCCCCCCAAACAAAATGAAAGAATGGATGAATGAATAAAATCTCTAACACGATTATTGCTTTATTTTACCTATGTTGTCTGGCAACATAAATACAATTGTAAGTATTTTACGCCTTCCTTGACACACTTTTGATCATTCAGGAGGTGGGCTGCTTCGACCCTGTCAAGTCAAAAGTCAGAAGTCGGAAGGGCCACCCCCAGTTGAGAGGAAGACATCATCCAAGCAGACAGATGGAGATACTCCATTTTCCAATGTCCAAAATTAGGCATCAAACTTGAGGTCCCAAGCACATTATACGTTTTACATTTTGTTTGGGGTTTGTTTTGTTGTTGCTGTTTAGAGCTTTTTATGTATTTTCTTAAATTAAATGGAACAAAGAAGTATTTGTGAAAAATTAACTTTTTAAGCATTACGTAGCATCACGTACATAATACATCTACGAGTAAAAAAGACGAAAAAGTACCTTTCTTTTGAGCAAGTGTCGTGAGTGCCGGCTGACAGGACACATGCGCAAATCAAGATGAAAAAGGCCATGACGGCCTCGACCATGACGAAACCCCACCAGCGTCTGAGGAAGGAAAGCCTTCATTAAATTATTAGAATTCACTTTTCGAGAGACAGAAACCAAGTTCTGAATGTTATAGATCCAAAATGGTGTGGATATGTTTCTTAATCAAAGAAAAAAGACCCCCCAAAAAACCCAGATCACTGTCCTCCGGGGAGGTACTACTGAGTGAAGTGTCTTTAGGCCATTCCCAAAGGGGGGACATTAACATGTTCTTATGCACAGTAGAATTGTAAATGGGCTGATTCATCAATACTAATCCTTACTATCGTCATTTTCCCTCTACTTCTTTTGTTATGTTTGTCACACTCCTGTGACCCGCTATTTCTGGGTTGCCTTGATAGTCGAAGCAGAATTTGTGCTGTTGAAGCTAGAGAGGTAAGCAGAGTAAGCCTGATTCCCTTTTTTTTGTAAAGTGTTTTACGGCGCTCGCAACTGCATAAGGTCTTGTGAGACACACTTAATATTTTCAGTTGGTAGGAAATTTTGAATTTTGCCCGGGTGGCGGCCGAAGCCTACTCTTATCGATGTTAGACCACCAAGGGATCTTTAACGTGTGCAACTTGCACACCGGCCCTCCGAGATTTTTCGTCCTTGTCCGAGAAGGCTAGGTGTAGATCTTTCCTACCAGAAGATCAGGGGTGTGGCAGAAAGACAGCAGTAAGGAGGAA